GATCACCCTATATATGGGAATATACTGTGCGACGTTAAAAGTGTTGGAAAAGTGTGTTGGATTTCTTGACTATAATCATTATATACTGTATTTAGTTCACGAGTCCCTTATTGCAAATTAAACATTTATAAATCTGATTACCCATTGTTGGTTTTTCGAGCTAACGCCTTCGATTTTTTATATATTTTTGTATTCACATAATGATAAACTGCTGATAAAAAAGCCAAATAGTCATGTCATACTAAATTGATTTATCATGGGTCAATGAATGAGCTCTTCGACAGATGGTGTAATGGTCCGGTCAAAAAAATCCGCAGCATTTATATTGATCACGCACTACACGCACTACACGCACTACACGCACTACATGCACTACACACACTACACACACTACACGCACTACACATATTTACGCATTAACAGGTAATTACCATTATGAGATTTACAAGTGTCGTGGAGAAAACCACAGCTACAGTCCACAATCAGTTCTAACATTATGATTATGATTATTATGATTATGATTATTATTAGTTTCGCGCAGAAAGATGTCCAGCCCACACACCGACAACCCGGATACCGACGTGGATCCTTTTCGTTTCGTAATCAACAATATGTTCGAACTTAATTTGACTGACAATGAAAGGGTTTCACTTAGCTTATACTTCACCAAGTTCCATGATCAAGCTATTGGAGCAGCAGAGGTCCTTCCTCACTTCAGAAATGCAGAAGGAAAAATCAAATATTTGAGATCTCTGTTACAACTTGGTAAGCAGTACCTAATGAATACTGATGTACTGTTTTTTCTCCCCATTCCATTTTGCTGATCATGTCTCTGCTTCATTTACTAGGCAAAAGGAAGGCATCAGAAGAGAAAACCATCCCCTCCAAATATATTAATATGCACATAGGAGCAGTTAATGTAACTCATACAGACGTGGGAAGATTTTGGGAGGCACTGCAGTTAATGGAAATTGATGATGAGGATATGTTCCTTTCTCTACCCACAGGCATATTTTTTTGTGGTGAAAATGATCGAGGATCCTCTCTACTTATTCGCAGATGCTACCACCATCTTGTGCATATCATATTTACTGACAATGTGACTTGCAGATGGCGCATCACAGGTACTCCTGGAATTGGCAAAACATTCTTTGGATATTACCTGATTTTTCTACTTGCACGTAAAGGGAAAACAGTCATATATTGTGATGCGCCGCAATCGATGACGTATTCTCTCTTTATTTCTGCGCTTCTCCAGCGATGCCGCAGTCCAAATCAATCGGCGGTAACACTAGCGCAGCTGCGGATTTCAGTG